CAAACACGCAGGGCTGCGTGAGGCACAGGGCTGACAGGTGAACGTGGTGCATCACCCCAGCGCTCCCTCCCCCGACTCCCCACCGCTGAGGGTTTCAGGCGCAGCACAGCTCAGGCCGGGGCTCTCAGCCTCTTAAACCCCGACTGGAAGGCACGAAGCGCAAGGAAACGGGCCGCTCCCTCAGGCGGGCTCCCTACCTGCGGGCGGCCCGCCGGGAGCCGCTCTTGCCGCGGGTGGGCCTCGGGCCGGCCGCCTCCTCCTCCTCCTCCCTCAGCAGCTCACTCTCGTCCTCCTCGCTGTACTCCGCACCTGCAAGCACAGCCGCTCAGCCCCGCGCCCTCCAGCCGGCCCCGGCCCCGCCGCATCCCCCCGCGCCGCCCGCTCACCCGAAGGCACGTAGTCCTCGTCCTCCGCCGAGCTGTACCCGTCCCCCGCCTCCTCCTCGCAGCCCGACATACCGCCGCCTCCCGCACGCGCGGCCGCCACCGCCACCAGAGCGTCGCCTTTGCCGGCTCGGAGCGCCCCCTAGCGGGGAGGACCGACGCCCGCACCGTGAAAAAAGGGGGAAGCGACGACGAGAAGGTGGCGTGACGGCTAGAGCGTCTCACCGCCGCCTACCCGCTTCCGCACCGCTCCCGGCACGTTTTGCGGCCGGCGGCCGTTCCTATGGCAGCCCGCTGCTGGTTGGCGAGCGGAACCGCCCGTCGGCGAGCGGCGCTTGCTATTGGTTGGAGCGGCGGGTGGGGCGGGCCGGCAGCCAGCCAGCCGAGGGGATGGAGGGCGGCGAGGCGGGCGGCGGGGGTCTGCTGCAGCAGATCCTCAGCCTCCGCCTGGTGCCTCGCGTCGGTAACGGCACCACCTACTCCAGCCCGCTGTCCACATTCCCAGGTACGGCTTCTCCGCCCCGAGCCCCGCCTGCCCTTCCCGGGGCTCTCTCGGAGGGCTCCGGGCCCGGGCCGGCCCTGACCGCCGCTCTCCCCGCAGAGATGTGGTACGGCGTCTTCCTGTGGGCCGTCGTCTCCTCGCTCTCCTTCCACGTCCCCGCCGCCCTGCTCGCTCTCTTCACCCTCCGGCACCACAAGTACGGCAGGTTCATGTCCGTCAGCCTCCTGCTGATGGGCATCGTGGGACCCATCACCGCCGGCATCCTGACAAGTAGGGGCAGCCGGGGGGTATTTGGGAGGGCAGCTCTGGGGAGCGGGGCAGCTCGGGCGGGGCTGAAGCGAGGCCCCGGCAGAGCTTTCCCAACTGCTGGCCCGGTGGGTATGCAGGCTGGATGGATGGGCTTTGTGGACTTTGGCCACAACATCCCGAGCGTTGCTGCAGGGTTGGGGCAGAATGGCTGGAAAGCTGTGCAGAGGGAAAACGTCTGGGGGTGTGAGCTGAAAGCTGCTAAACTGAGCCAGCAGCGTGCCCAGGTGGGTGTGGAGCCCAGCGATATCCCGGCTTCTGACAGCAGCAGAGCAGGCAGAAGGGACTGTCTCTCTATATGGTGCTGCTGGGGGCACGCCTCAGTGCTGTGCTGAGCGCTGGGACCCTCGGTGCAGGAGAGACGAGGAGGTCCTGGAGTGTGCCCAGGGAAGGGAGCGGAGCTGTGAGAGGTCTGAGCACAGCGCTGTGGGAGCGGCTGAGGGAACGGGGTGGATCAGCGTGGAGAAGAGGAGCTCAGGGCAGAGCTCTGCAGCCCTGACAGGAGGCTGTGGGAGGGGATGTCAGCCTCTGCTCCCAGGTAATGGCGACAGGGCGAGAGGTGGTGGCCTCAGGTTGTGCTAGATGAAGTTCAGGCTGGATATTAGGAACAATTCCTTCTCCAAAGGAGTGATGAGGCACTGGTGCAGCTGCCCAGGGAGGTGGTGTTCCCAGAGGTGTTCAAGAACCACAGAGATATGGCACTGAGAGACATGGTCAGTGAGGGGGGAGGTTGGACTAGGTGATCTTAGTGTTTTTTTCCAACCTTAATAATACTGTCATGTGTTGTGATCTGCATGTGTTGCTTCTGCTGAGGTTTCTCATGGATCTGCCTCCACCTGCATATCTGCAGAGCCTTCTCCCGAAGAGCCTTGCATTCCCTCCAGTTAAATCCCTCCCGGTATTCCCGTAGCGCAGCAGTACAGCTCTCATTGCCATCACACAGTAATATTTCTGCTTTTCCTCTCCTCCACAGGTGCTGCTATTGCTGGAGTTTACAGAGCCGCTGGGAAAAAAATGATTCCTTTTGAAGCCCTCATTTTTGGAGTGGGTCAGACGTTCTGTGTGGTGGTGGTTTCATTCCTGCGGATTTTGGCCACTCTGTAGCTTTCCTCCAGGTGTTGGTGATTGAAAATGGAAGCGAAACATCTGCAGCACGCCTGGTGTCTGTGAAGGCAGTAACCAGGGAGCACAGCTTAGATGGCACCTTGGCATGCGTTTCCTCCCCACTGCAAAGCTGCATGAAGGCATCTGCTGCCTTAGGCTGGTGGCAGGGCTCCCTGACTGTGATAAGCAAGAATCTCCTCGCAGAGCCTGGCCTGAAGGGCTGCGTGCCACAGATGTGATGGAGAACGTGCTTTCTGTAACTTATCTTGCTCCTACAGCAACCATAACGTCCAGGTTTGTTCTTCAGCACTGCTGAAGCTGTGTCACCAGCCCTGAGTGAGCGCTGGCAGCCAGGCTCTGGTGCTGGCTGCTTGCTGGCCGCTCCATGGGGCTGCGGTCTGCTTCAGAAATTGAGGTGAAAATGGTTCATTTCATTACGTTCTTGTAACGCTAAGTGCCAAGTGAAACTTTGTTTTCCTGGAGGATAGGCAGAGGGCTCTGGCAGAGACTCGCTGACCTCTGGTGGGTGACAAATTGTAGCAACAGAGTAACTGAACTGCTGGGGGGCGAGAGCGTGGCTGCGGGTGGTGTGATGTGTTCAGAGCTCACTTTGCAGTGAACCCAAAGCTCTTTTAATGTGATTCTTTTTTTTTTTTTTCCTTTTAATGAGAATCTTCCTTTATTGTTTTCTTTTCTGGCCCCATCTTCCTTATGCCAGGTCATGGTCGTAGTGAGACTGGGGAGCAGCAAAAGAAAAAAAAAAAAAACAAAAAAAAAACCCACAACATTTTAAATGGATGAAAGTGCAAAATTGTGGCTGAGAGCTGTGATTATGAGTGCTGAGGCATGGGAAATCACCGGTGTAGTAATGATTGTAGTCTTTATGAACTTCATTGCAGTGAAATTCTTCCGAAGCTGTGCCTCCTGCACAGGAGCTGCACCCTGCTGCTCACAGCACAACTCTCGGGGTGCACGAATGTGTGCTTTTGCTTTGAAGGAGACCTGTGGTGTTGCTCTCCTTTCACTTGTTGAACGTAGGTGTGTGACTGAGCATCTCTGCAGGTATTCAGACACCACAGCTGGCGTATGTAGAACTCAGCACCCTGCCTTGGTGACCCTGTGGGTGAGAACCTGGTGCCTTTTTGGGGCATAGAGGCCATGTGTTGTGTTTTAAACACCCAGCCTGTGGCACCTGAGAGCTTCCCAGCTGTCAGCACTGAGCTGTGCAAAAATAAGCCCAGACCAACTCCTTCTGGCCATGCTACAGTCTCTCCTAATGCGTTGGTTTGGTTTAAATGGTATTTAACTAATTCTGAGCTCTGCCCTGTCTTCCAGAGGTGTGCTGTGCAGTCAGGGCTCTCTGGTCTGTTTTCTGGGCCCACAGGGAAGCTGGCACTGAATGCTGAGGATTTTGCTGGGTGGCACAGCAATCTGTTAGCAGCTGATTGGAGGAAGGCACCATCTGTGTCCAGCCTCCAGGCCGTGCTTCCCACCTGTGTGGTGACAGAAATCCTTTGCTCTCCAGATCAGCTTACCTTTTGTAGCAAGTTTTTGCAAGGCCACAAACACAACGGCCCCTGTGCTGAAACAACTCCAATCAAGGTCCTACGCTGATCATGAAAGCAATTCTCTCACTGTGCTAAGATGTCTTGTGAATGGTCTTTTTTTTTTTTTTTGCCAGCAGGTGGAGAGAGTCGTTTTTAAGGAGGTTTTTAATGAAATTGCTCTAAAATGCAACCCATTTTAATCCAGGGAATAAAACTGTGAGTTTTAGTTGAATGTGAATCCTTCTCCTGAGGTGGGCAAGGTTCAGATTGTTAGTAAACGCCACTCTAAGACTGCCTGATGGGTGCTGAGCACGAGCCCTTCTGTGTGCCGTGCTGTGCTTGTGGAGGACCAGCTGTGCTTGTGGAGGAGGTTGGGCCTCTCCCTCTGCATCTTCCCCCTCCTTCCCCAAACCAAAGTCAGGAACAATGATCTGTTTAGATACAGGGTGTTCCCTTTATCTCCATCTGGAGTGAGGCAAGCTGGAGCTTTCAGCAGGTGTCTGTTGGCTTTGCTGGGACAGAAGGATTTAGGAAGGCTGGAATTCAGAAATGCTGAGAGCTGTTGCAGCGGGCTGGAAATAAACCCTGGGCACGGCTGGGAGAAGAGCAGTTCCTGCTGCACTGCGGTGTAACCTTGTCAAAAGCTGTAAACGACTTCTGAAAATGGAAATGCTGAGGTGTCCTGGTGGGCAGGGCTGTGAGCCCCATCCACAAAGCCCTTCTGGCCTGAGAAAGTCACTGCTTGAGCAGGTCTTGATTCGCCTCCCAGCTTCCTGTGTGCTGCTCTGCTTGGGTATGGCCCTGGCTTTGTGGCTCCTTAGCAAGTGCAGCTATCATGAACAAACCTTTGTATGATAGAGAGCTGTGTACATTTTATTTTTCTACTGACACTTCTCATCCTGGTGGCGATGATCAGTAAACGCTGTGATGATGGAGGTGAATGGAGTTGCACGTTTCTCCTGGGGGGGAATGTGGGGCAACAAGGATGCCAGCGTGGGGCTTTGGGAAACCAACCACACTCACTTCTGCCATGGCAGGTTTTGCTGCCTTGGAGCCCCGCAGCCCCATTGCAGCCATTTGGGCATTGCTGTGAACCCCACGCGTTTGGTACTGCCCCAAACCCCCTGGAATCACTCAAACGCAGCCTGAAAAAAATCATGCGGCAGGGGTGCGGGAGGCTTTATTGGCAGTAAAAGGTGAGAACGTTCTCCTGGTTCCCTCTGATCAGGAGGACCGGGGGCCTCAGGTCCTGCGAGAGCGTCTCCAGCCAGGCCATGTAGAGGGAGCTGGGGCAGCGGCCCTTCCTGCCGATAGGCAGCGTGCTGCGGCCACGAGACGGGGCTGCGTCAGGAAGCACCTCCTGGCACCAGCTCACACATTGCTTCCCAAAAACAGGGAACCACCGCGTCCTGCCCCTGGGGCCAGACCCCTTCCTTGGTGCCCTCCCCCTGGCTGCAGCAGCGCTGCCCCATCCCAACAGCTGTGGTGTGTCCAGAACCCGAAGGAACCATTCCTGCCCTACAAGGAGCAGGACCGGCCGTGCCGACACCTACATGGCGATGAGCGCCGCGTCCCGTGAGTAATCCAGCAGAATCTCATTGAGCCTCACTTGTCGGAGCGACTGCGGAGCGGGTGGTGAAGGTTTAGGAGACCAAAACCACGTGTTCCTGACTTAAAAGCAGGAGGATCCCTGCAGGCTGCCCCGGCGCTACCTTGGCCCTGTGCCTGTGCGCTTCCTCATCGGAGATCTTCCAGGGACAGCCCTGCCGCAGCTCGTTCACCGCCGCCTCGTCCTTGAAGCCGTCGTTCAGCCTGAAGGGTGCAATCAGCTCCTCGAACCTCCTGATGCTGCAAGGCAAGGACACCGCGCTTGGACAGGGCACGGCGCGCTCCCAGCCTGCTGCGAGGGAGTGGAGCTGTGGCACTGAGAACAGGGATCTGTGCCACACAGAGCCGTGGCTCAGGCAGGACTGCGTGGGCAGGGGGTTTGTTTACTGCTCCAGCCGGGGCTGCTGGTTGATGTCAGGCAGGACGTGGACCTCGTGGAACCCCAGGCGGAATTTGCTCAGCAGGGACACGATCCTGCCACAGAGAGAAGGACAGTTCCCAGAGCTCAGCAACCGGCTGCTGAGCCGGGACGCCCGTGCACGTTTTGCACTGTCCGTACGCCTTCCTCTCCTCGTCCATCCTGTTGATCTGCCCGCCAACAAACACCCGGATCTTGCATTTTCCCCATCGCTTCTTGCGGCCAAGGAGGTAGGGGATGAGCAGTGTGAGCCCTGCGTGATGCAGCCACAGGGCATTTTTAGTGCCTCCCCATCCTCCTGTGCTGCGTGGCGCTGCAGCACGAGGCAGGGCCTACCTCCATCGTCAAAGAGCCAGTAAATGTCGATGGTTTTCTTGCCCTGCTGGCTCTGGAAGATGGTGCTCGCCTGCTGCTCGGGGTCTACTATGAAGGGAAATGCAGGCATCAGCATGGCATCACCCCGCAGCAGTTACGGTAGCAAACAGAACCATCTTCCCAAGCTGAACCCTGAACCCCTGCATCCATGGTGCCCCGTGCACAAACCCAGCTCCCCAGAGTGGATCCCAAGGCTGCAGGAGGCCCTGGACATGACTGATGAGCACTGACTGATGCCTGTGCCGGGTGCTGCTCTGCTGCCAGTGCCGTTCCCATCAGGATGCTCTGCTGCCCCAAATGCAGGGTTAGCTGTGGAGGGAGAGGAGCACGGACACGTCCTGCCCTGGTTTCAGGGTACCAGTGCCCATCACAAGGACGGTCCCCAGCACTGCGTGTCCACAGCACTTACTGTGGGCTTGTGGGACACGGGAAACATTCAGCCCTTCCCGCAGCCGCAGCAGGCACACACCATGCTTGAAATCAAAGGCGTCGCTGGAAGGAGGGAGGAGGCAGCTGATGGCGGTGGTCTCCCCCCCCCCAAAATCCCCATGAGGTGGGGACAACACAACAGCGAGATGCCACTGCCCGGCTCAGAGAGGCACACGGAGCCACCAGGTGCCAACGCAGTGCGTACTGCAGGATGCCCACGTAATCCTCCAGGCTCTGCGGTGCAGCTGCCTGCCAGTCCCTCTTGTAGCCCAGCGCGACAATGTTGGGTCTCATCTTCCCCAGGCCGGCGGCCTTCAGGAAAAGCAATGGGAGCAACAGATTCCTGCTTGAGGCACTCACCCAGCTGGCACTGTGTGCCCCAAGCAGGGCCTGCAATGGTCAGCTTGCCCCACCTGCAGCAGCATCTGGACGCCGCTCCTCAGGTCTTCAGCGAGCACGTTGGTGTAGAAGGCCTTAATCTTCCTCTTGAGGAGCCACCTGGTGTGGCCATCCGATGCCTGCCGGGCCTCGGGCACCTTCTGCTTGCGGGGGCCCTGGGGGAGCAGGGAGGGGGCACGGCCTGTTGGCCGGGTGGCCGCTGTCCCTGTCCCCATCCCAGTGCTCTGGGCACCAAAGAGCTCCATCTCCCCTTGACCCAGCTGTTGGCAGAACCTGGGTTTAAGCATGGTGTGCATGGGGAATTGCTGTTGCACCAAAAAACGGCAGATTTTGGTTTATCAGCCTCGACTCCACTGGTTTCCCAGTGACAGGTGCTGCTGACAGTGACAATGGTGCTCTACCACCTGTGGACCGCTGGTTACCCAAGATAGGGAACCAAAGGAGCACGATGTGGCCTGACTTTTTTTTTCCTTCTTTGGGATGCCTGCAGGGTGCAGAATCCAGCCGCAGGGCGCCCTGTGGGCACACTCACGATCAGCACGTGGCCGCAGATCATCAGGCTGAGGTTCTTGGTGAAGGTGCCCACGAAGTCCACCAGCGCTGGGCGGAAGTTGGGCGGCCCGGTCAGGACGAGGCACTGTGGCCTGATGGGAAGGAGAGGACAGAATCTGAGGGTGGCCTTGCCATGTGGCACAGAGGACGTGGGGTTCGGGGTGCAGCTGTCCCACTCTGTGATTCACCAGCACTGAGGCCGTGGCCACGGGCACAATCCCATCTTGGCTTCGTGGGGGACCGGCTCTGTTCCCCTCCCTCCCAGCTCCAATCTCAGCCTCCTTGCCTGTAGTTCTTGATGTGCTCATCCACCTCGCTGAGCCCTACCGAGTAGCTCAGCGCCAGGTTGTAGGAGCTGGCTTGCATGGAGGAGCCCCAGTTGACATCTGTGTGGAGGGGATGGATTGGCAACGGGCACCAACAACTGTGGGGGATGTGGGGGCCCTCTCCAGAGCCGCCACGCACCTGGTTTCTTGTAGAGGACATAGCCCAGGAGGAAGACAACGATGCCGAAGGCAATGAGGGCTGCCCACCAGGTCAGCAGGAACATGATGACCACTGAGACCGTGGCACCAAAGAGCGCAGACCACTTGCTGTAATACCGAAAGGAGGGTCGCCAGCCTGCACGCAAACACAGACAGCGGCTGCCGCCGGCTCCCCTCACCCCACAGCCAGGATGGGGCTGGGGTTGGGGCTGGCACCCACCTGGGGAGTTGGTAATGGAAGCATGGAAGCAGCTGAAGTTGATGAGCGCATAGGAGCAGAGGAAGAAGTTGGAGATGATGGGGGCGATGGCATTGAGCTCGGCTGCAGGAGGAGGACAGGGCAGAGCGTCAGCGGTGCGCCGCAGCCAAGCCATCCAGGCACGGCTGGAGGCACCCACCGATGAGGATGAAGCCAATGGCGATCACGTAGGTGAGCATGTAGCCACGGATAGGCTCGCTGTTCTTCCCATAGCCCTTCCCAAAGAAGCCTATGAGAGGGTAGAGCTGGTCCTTGCAGAGGCACTGTGGGGAGAAAGGGGTGAGAGGTGCGGGGATGTTCTGTCCCGTCACCTGGGGACAGAGACAGGGAGAGGGACCGGGATCAATGCTCACCTGGAAGACTTTGGGGGCCGAGACGAGGCAGGCCAGCGCTGAGGAGAGGGTGGCACCAAAGATCCCAGCTGTGATGAGGGGACCGAATCCTGACACCATGCTCATGCTCTGCCCCAAAATGCAGTGGTCAGGACGCTCCGTGCCGCCAGCACATCACCCTGCACCTTACCCCATCCCACCACCCTCGGTGCTTCCAGTAACATCATCCAGGTGGTTACATTCAACCACATCTGAAAACCCAAGCAGAAGGAGCCCTCCACACACACTGCGGAGCCTGAACCCCCAGGCACACCTGATAGTAGTTGCTGAGGCCATATCGGCAGCTCTGCTGCTGGGCGCAGTCAGTGAAGTTCCAGCCGTAGCTGCAGCCCAGTCCCTCACAGCCTGGTGAGCCCACCGTCACGCTGTCATTCAGGCTGCCCGAGGCGTCCCGAAGCACACAGGCACCTGTGGGGCACAGCTACGTGCACACTTTGCTCCTGCATCACCTCCAAGGACGGGTGCTTCTCCTGCTGCCCACCACCCTGCTTCACGGGGCCTCAGCCCGCTGCACTCACCTATTGTAGCTGACAGCACCAGGTAGGACACCGTGGTCCAGAAGATGGCCATCAAGGTGCCCTTGGGGATGGCCACGGCAGGGTCCTGTCCGAGGGGGTCGCAGGGAGATGCACAGCTGCTTTCCAGGGGCCCCCAGCGATGGTTTTGTGCCATCTGAATTTCACGGGCCCCCAGTTCCCCATCCTGAGAAGCAACAGCTCAGGAAGGGCTGGCAAAAACCTACCTTCAGGTCACCGGAGATATTGGCTCCAGCCAAAATACCAGTGGCCGATGGGAAGAAAATGGAGAACAAACCAAAGAAGGAGCCCTCAGGTCCACGCCAGTCAGGCACGAAGTTCTGGGCAAAAATGTCAGCTGAGGAGGAAGCAGAGAAGCATCCCCATCCACCTGGTGCTCCCACCACCTCTTCCAGCTCCAACACTGCAGCGCTGGATGGAAGCAAACCGCTGCCAGCACACAATCCCAGCTCTCATCGTCACTCTCAGCCATGGCCCGGCCCCATGGTGAACCCACCTCTGTAGCTGAAGAAGCCCTTTGCTTGTTTCTCAGCACTGGCCGGGATCACCGTCCCCACCAGGTAGTTTATGAAGGACACCAAGATGACCAAAAAGAAGAGGATCTGGGCCTGGAGAGGCAGAGAGGAGCAGGAGGCTTGGCCAGGCTGCAGGCCGGCTTGCTGCAGGAGGGTGCGGTACCTTCGCCTCCCACTCCATGCCAGCCAGCGAGATGCCCAGCAGCACGGTGACAGTGAGCACCCCGATGATGCGGATGTCGTTGGTGGGGTCCACGATCAGGGAGTCGTGCTCCTGGGGAAGGGGCACCGTCACCAACCAGGAAACAGAATTCCCTCAGCCAACCGCCGCCACGTCCGCGAGTTGGAGGAGCTGGCGGCTGATGATCGGCGGCGCGGCGTTAAAGCAGGTATTGATAATGAGCTCTGCTTGGGCAGGGGGGTGCAGGTGGGTTTGGGGACAGGAGGTGCAGAGCCACGTCCTCACCTGCAGCAGATCCCGCACGGTTTCAGCAAAGCCCACCGTGTGCATGGCCACGGCCACTGCGTTGGCGAAGGCGAAGATGAGGCCGATGGAGCCGCCCAGCTCCGGTCCCAGGCTCCTCGAAATGAGGAAGTAGGTGCCCCCTGTGGCACAGAAAGCCCACAGAGAAGGTTTGGACGCAGTCGTCCCAGGAGTGCTGTGAGGGACCTGGCAGGGAAGCACTACCTGACTTCACTTTGCCGTTGGTAGAAATGGCAGAGATGGACAGGCCGGTGATGGTGGTCACGGTCACAGACATCAGGATGATGAGCCACGTCAGGGCTGCAGGAGAGGATGGATTGCACCAGGCCGAGCCCTGCTGGCAGCCCCACGGCCTCCTCCCCATGCCTGCTGCCTTCATCCCCCGCGGGCACCCACCGATTCCTGCCTGGGCTGTGATCCAGGGCAGGCGCAGGTAGAGGATCACGCCCCAGATGTTCAGCATGCAGCGGATCTGCAGGGCAATACGAACGCGGCCGTGAGGGCGGGTGGGCACTGCGGGACAGGCAGAGCCATGCTGGGTCTGCTGGCCTCCAGCCAACAACAGGGCACCAGGAAGGGATGGGGAACAGCTCCGGTTGTGGAAAACAGAATCCCAGGCACTGGAAAGTACCTCTATGGTCATCCAGTCCAACTGTCAACCCATGAATGCTAAACCAAAGGGTCACAGAACCTTTAAGGCTGGGAAAGACCTTTCAGACCCCCAAGTCCAACCCCACCCCACCGTGCCCACTGCCCACATCCCTCAGTGCCGCATCCCCACAGCTCTGGGGCACCTCCAGGGACAGGAATGCACAGCTGTGCCACTGCCCTACTGCTCTTTTGGAACAGCAGTTGTTCCCAAAATTCCACCTGAACTTCCCCTGGCACAAGATGAGGCCATTGCCTCTCTTCCCGATTGGGAAAAATGTGAAGATGCTGCGATAGCCATCCGGACGCAGGGCACTCACCATCACACCCTTCACCCACCCGAAGCGGACAGGTTCTGGCACAGGGGCGCTGCTCGGCTCGCCAGCCCCCTCCTCAGTGTTGGGGAGGCCGTTGCTGTGCTGGGGGTCCGGCAGCGGCACACGGAGGTGGTGGCCGGGTTCAGGCTGTGGGACAGAGAGACGGGCCTGAGGGCAGAGCCACACCAGCACAAGTGCAGCCAGCAGCCCCTGCACTGAGGCCTCACCTTGAGTATGGAGTGGAGGTCTGCCAGCGATGGTCTCCCCCGTCCGGCCTCACCCACCCCCCTGCTGTTGGCATAGTGCTCGTAGGCGGGCACCACATCCACCGTGTTGTAGCCAAAGGTCCTGGTGCAGAGCGAGCTGCCCGAGAGCTGCGTGCCCTCACAGCCCGCCGCCTCCTCAGCAGCCAGCAGCGTGCTGATGGTAAAGCGGCCGCTGCAGCGTGGTGGGGGCTCAGCACATGGCAGCTCAGCCATGGTGGCTGCACGGGTCCCACGTTGTAGTGCTGGGGTCGGGGATTTATACCTGCAGAGCCAAGCACGGCCCCACAGCGCCTGGGGGGATGCGAGTGGCTGGAACCACCCCGAGCCGGTCAGGGGGAAAAAATAGCTGGAGGGGGTATCAAAACTGCTGTTATCAGCATCAGTGGCTGCCGGTGCCCGATCGCGGCACTGATAACGGTTTTGAGATTAAGGCCCAAGGACAGAGCTACAGAGAAATGCAGCAGTTTTCCATAACAGATCTGGGTGGGAACTGAATGTTCCCAGGTGGGGGCCGGAGGTGAGCTCAGCGCTCTGCTCCTCTGCCCCTTCCCTGCGGCACTGCCCAGCAGATCCCACAAACCACAGCTGCATCACTGCTGAAGGAGCTGAGCTGCACCAGGAGCTGAACCCAAAGGAGAGGGGAACTGGAAGCCCCAGGGTGGAAAAGACCCCCACCCCAAAAAGGGGGATGGGTGGCTTTCGTGCAGGGCTCAATGTCACACATGCACTTAAATGCACAACAGTTAACATCGTGGAAGACAGCTAACAGGGCAGGTAATAACATTGGAGGGCAACGCTGCAGCCCATTGCAAATTCAGCCCACTCACTTTGCGAGTTAATGGAAAATTTGGGTTGTCCAGCCACTGCCTCTGGTGGCCCTTTGCACTTGCACGAACATTTCAACCTGCTCTCTGGGCCTCGCTCTGCTCCCCACGCATGGTGCACACGCACAGACACCGTCCTCAGTCCCACCTCGCCCATTCCTGCCACACGGGCATCAGCTTCCACCAACACAGACAGCACCACACTGATGCCTCGAAGCCACAGCTTTATTTTAGAAGCTCATTATCCCATCAGAAAACACAAACTTGTCCCAGACGGCACAGATCAGAGCCTCTCACGAATCAGAGGCCAGGCGCAGCAGCAAGATGCTCCGGGAGAGGCACGGAGGCTCCAGGAGGCGGGTGAAGGAAGTGGTATGATGCAACCCTGGTGTAGTGAAATAGCCGGATAGTAGGAAGCGCTTGCCGTCGGCCTGATTCACAACACCAGCTGCAGCAACAATACCCGGCCATCCCGCGGCGTCGCAGGGGCTGCAGGCAGATGAGGAATGCTCTGTGCCCGTTGTGGCCATTAAACGTGTCAAACCAACCTTAATCCGGTCCGTGGAGCACAGCTCAGTACTCCACAGGGAGACTCTGTTAAAGCCTGTCAAAGCAGAGATCCCTGCAGCCCTCAGGGAAGCTTTAACTGCCCCATTTCCCTCCTCAGAGGCAGCCCAGCACGCTGGGCACTGCTGCCCAGAGTGGGACTGGGACTGAGCACTGCAGGGCAGGACCGAGCCCCCACCTGCAGGGAAGGAACCTGCAAAGAGAAGAGAGATCGTTTTCACCGCTCCCACCTTGCTGCACCCCGTCCCCCCATCTGACCTCCATCCCACAAGGGCAGATTGCAGCACACAGACAGCTGGAGGCTTGCAGGCAAAGCGCTGTGGTTTGCTGAAGCCTGGGGTTGTTGGGGACAGACAGCGGTGTGCTTGCTGGCGTGTATTCAGCTCCTGCAGAAGGAAATCAGCAAATGATCCTAAATTCACCTTACACAAAGGGAGCAAAGTCACATCCTCATCATAACGGGCTGGGAATCAGCAGCCACCAGCACTGCCCACTGTGAGGTGGCCAAGCAGCTGCTCACATCACTGGGCCCAAAGGAGCCAGAACCATCAGGGTGAAGAGAGCCCCCAGGAGCAGAGCAGCCTGTGCTCCCAGCCATCACACAGCCCCCTGCTGGGGCATGGATGACAGCAGCTTGGGAGAGGGCACAAGGAAACTCCGCTCACAGCAATTGCATGTAGGAAATTGAGGTTGCTCTTGAAGCCTGACATAAGAAAGGAAGCACTCCTCCCGTCAGAATGGACAGTGGCAATGCCTTCCAGTAGGCTGCTCTGAACAACGCATCAATTCTAACATCCCCAAAACCCACAGAAAGCCACGGTGGAGGCTGCCCGCTAACAAAGTCAGGGCAGGAAGGCACTGAGGTTACCGACCCTGCAGCAGAACGCCTGGTGGTCAGACACAGCAGGGAGCAGGAGCAGGCTGCTCTTTCCAGAAGTACAAGTCCTTAAGCATAAAGCTGGAAGGCGTGGGGTGGGGAGAAACAGTGGCATCTGGAAGACCATGAGGTGCCATCTGCAGCAAAGCAGCGTACGGCAGTCAGCAGCGAGCTCAGCGCGCGGGGAGGAGAGCCAGGTGCCTGCAGCTGGGCTGGGATGTGGAGCTGGAGCATGGGAGGATGGGGTGCTGCAAATCACCACCTGCACAGACATGAGAAGAAAGCACAGGGCAGTCAGTAGCTAAAGACTCCGATTGCCCTCAGCACCCCTGCCCACCCCTCGGCACCTGTGTCTTGCACAGAGCAGTGCTGGGCCTTAACTTGCAGCACGGGTCCCAGGCCTTTGGATCCCTGCGGCTGGTTCCTGGGGCAGCACTGCACAAAGGGGCTTTCCTGGCCTTCAGAACAAAGCATGGAACGCTTCAGCAGCTGCTCAGCCTGGAAGGGCCAGCGGGACTGGCATCACAGCCTTCCTCAAAGGTCATTAGGTGTAAGGCTGGAAATGAGCACGTCAGCAAGCAGCACAGCAGAGCAGGGAACAACAGCAGCCTTTCCAGAAGGGGCCAAGTAGTGCTGCCCCTGTTCGGGTCAGGGGCTGCCTAAGGACACACAGCCTGCCAGGAGAAAGGACACACTGCACAACGCAGTCCTGAGCCTGTCTGGCTTCAGGGCTCCCCACGTCACCGTCCTCCGAGCTGCTTCAACCTTCGCTGTGCTGCAGAAATGCCCGGTGCCACACGCAGCCCCCAGCAGCCCCCAGCTGCTCATACGTGTCCTTGGGGGGATGATGGCAAGTTGGCTCTCTGCTTCCCATCCAAAAGTTCATCTAAATTCACGCCACAATAGTTTTGGTAGAAAGGTAGTTAGGAAGTTGGTCAAACATCCCCTAGCGGAGGTTACGCTTACAGCCATACTGAAAAAAAATAAAAATAAAATAATTAATTGTCTCCCACAATAATGCAGCGTGCAAAGGTTGGAATCGGCTCCCCTGCTTTGTTGCCTGCTCTATGACCAGAAGTGCACGTGCTCTCATATCCCAGCAACATGGAGTGAGGGCAGGACAGCAGTGCAGGGGGCTGCAGAACCGACTTTTCTCCATACTTACTCTCTGAGAATGATTTTCTAAAGATAAACCAATTTTTTTTTTTTTAAATGAACAAACACATAAAAACACAAAAGAACAGCAAAAATGAAAATATCAAAAAACAAATAGAAATCAAAGAAATTTATTTCCATCAACGAAAATACAGAATACAAAAGGGCTCTGGTCCCAGCCCCAGATGCACTACCAACAGGCCCGGCTGCTGAGCCCTGAGCCAAAGCTTCTCTGCTAGTTCATAAGGACCTCCATCTGCACCAGTCTTGCATTCGTGTCTCCAGATGTTCTGTAAGGGATCATTCCAGCAAATGTGATCAGCGCACGAGCTTGAGATCGCAGTTGCTGCAAGACAGAAAAACAAAGAAGTTCAATACCTACAAATGCCACAGCCCAATGGAGGGGAGGTAGGAATCCTTTTTTCTTTGACTCATTTGTCTGGTTAAGGGAGGACGAATATCTGGAGCTGCAAAGTGGCCCAAGGGCTGAAAGCACCCAGCACAGGTTACAGGACCGAGTTACCAACCTTAACACAAACGGATTGCCTGATTCACAAGGCTGCTGAGAAATCACTCTTTTAGTTTCAGTGATGGCCCACATTTCTCTGCTGTTGTTTCCTCTGCTCACAGAGGTCGTGTCACCTCTAACCTGCTGCCTTCCAGAGGACATTGAAACAAGTGGCAGATGAAGACAGCACGGCAAGTTGCCTGGTTCCCAATTAAAGATTAAGAGGCAAAACCTCTAACTGTGACTGACAGGGCTCAGAAGCAGCGTGAATTACAGTTCTCTCTGCCTTTATGGTAGCAATGATATTGGAGGCAATCTATTTTTAAAAATCAAAGCACCACGATGAGTTGCAGGCAGCAGCACTTGGGGAAGAAAGAACGGAGGTTTGCAGAGGTTAAGAGCGGCCTGGAGGTCTCAGTGTTCTATTGGCTGTAATTAGTTAATGAATGTGAAAGTCACTTGTGATTTAAAATCACTATAAATAAACGAATTCCATTCCTTTCATGACCTAATTCTGCCACCCAGATGATGCCCTTGGGGAGCTGCTCACCCAGTGGGGTCAGGGTGTGGGGCACATGGTGCTGCCATCACGCCCTGGGTGCCAGCGCTGCAGCCTGCGCTGGCTGCAACCTTACCTGAGATCTGACAACACGCATCAGGCCAAGAGAGACAAGGCTTTGCCCTCTCATTCCCAAAGCCAATTAGTGTGTGTGTGTAAATATATACATAATCAAAGGACTCGAAACACAGCCTAGGCAATTTCTCTGTGAAATAAAGAAAATGCATGCAAACCCAGCTCTGACTCCAAACCCAACGGTTTCTAAGTACAGCACATTTCATCCTTGGGATGGAATAGGAAATGTTTTCGCAGAGGAGCTCTGGAGATGCCATTTCTCTCCACATTGGAAGTGCCCTCATTTCTTCCCACTCCAAAACCCCCAAGCTGTTTTCCAAGCAAGGGAACTGGGCCAACCTAGACTCCTTGCTCCCACACAGGGTAAGAAACCAAGGGAACGTGCTTTACTTCCTACCCTATCTTCCGTGTTCCCTTCAGGCTGGACAATCACAGCTCTGAGCACAGGACGCCGGGCTGGATGTGGCTCTGGGCAGCCTGCTCTGGTGGCTGGCGACCCTGCACATAGCAGGGGGTTGAAACCAGATGATCTTTATGGTCTTTTTCAACCATTCTATGACTCTATGATTCACAGAGGCAGCTGGCCTGCGTCCCTCTGAGTTAAGCAAAGAGGGAACCCTGTGCCCTCTGCTCCCCCATGCCCCATGGCTGGGAGTTTCCCCACCAGCAGCACTGAGAAATGCTACTTTCATTCATATTGGAATGTACAGATGAAAGGCACTTTCACAGATGACAAGCCTGGAATATAGCTGGATGAGGCCCTGGTCTCATCATCAAGCAGGAGCTGAGATTTATTTCCTCACCTGTAAGCTGGGTTGAGTGCTTCGGCCTTGGTTTTCAAGCATCTGTGGCAGCTCTAAGGTGGTAAGAACTACAAGACCAGAGCCCATAAGAGCTACACCAAGCACACTTCTGCTTAACAGAGCGCTGACAAACCTGTCTGCGTCCCATCAGATGTTATGAACGATCCCTTTTTGTGCCTCCCACCAGCAGGTGGGGGAAACGCTTCAGCACCAAGTGTGGCAGTTCAGTCAAACCCACCTTGGTCAGCACTGAAACCAGGCAGCCAGACCAAGCACCACAGTGCCCAAAAGCTGTCTGGTTCTGTCTGCCCATGTCTCTATGGAAGCCAGCCAAGCATAGGAATGAAGTGCCTTTCCCAAGAAATAACTTTTGCATGAAGAAGAGGCCAAAATGAAAGAGTTGGAAATTGGGTTTTTGACAGTAGTCCAGCTGTTAAAGCAACAATGCCAACTATCCTAGAAACACAGCACTGCTCACATCTGCTAACAACTGGAGAGTCCTCGAGGAAGGTGACTGAAGACTGCTTATTTCTTCTGGCCAGGAGGTGGGGGTATACTGTAACACATTTTCAAGACATTTAGAACAATATCCCTTCCTTCTACATAGGTGAAGTTACAAGAGACTTGTCTCAGGGCGAGTAACTGAAAAGGCCCTCTGTCTGAGAGCAAAGACAGGCAGAGACACCCAGTTAAAGCCCAACCCTTTGAAAGACAGGGAAAAAGGAATTGGGAAAACTTGCTGGACAGTGAGGGTTACATATTATCTTATATTATCTTACCGAATCTCTGTCCTCTATCACCCGCTGGGGCCTGGCAGGAGTGGCAGGACTCGTGCCTTTCATCCGCTTGTACTGGGTGAATAAAATATTCATGGTTGCAAGCAGTACCTCAGATAGATTGTGCCTGATCTGCACAAAGGGGGAGAAAGAAAAGATGTGTTGCAAAAAAAAAAAGCAGGTTGACAGAATCGTTAGCTTTGCTCACTGACATCAGGAAACCCAGAGAGCTACGACTGACACCTGCCCCAGCAACGGCTGTGCATGGATGGCTTCCCCTGGCAGCAGCACGGCCCTGGGACACACATGCAGAACAGCTACGCCTTCAAGTTTGAAACAAAAGTGCATATGGAACCTGAAGCAGCAGCAGAACATCCCAAAGACCCACATATAAACAAGTGTTGTCTAAAAGAAGGGCTGCCTTCCAGTAAAAACAGTCCACAAGCAGCAATGGACTCCCACTCAGGTGGTAAAAGAGCACTCAGAACAGTACAGGTGAAAGGCTTTGTTTTCTGGTAAATAATCAAGGAAACGTAACGTTGAGATAAGAAAATACACCATGGTGCCATCAGCAGCCCTAAGAAGAGAATTCCCAAGGTTTCCAGCAGCACACTGCACAGCCAAAGGACTGCAGCCTCCCAGAAAGCACGTCTTGCTCACAGTCACCAGTACTGCACTCATTGCTACACACAAGCAAACCAAAAGAGCTGACAGCAAGCCTTTACTTTGCACAGTTGCTCTCCCTTAGGCTGCTGCTGATTTGCCTGGCACTCTCCAATTCATTTCCCAGATGAGAGTAGTTTGTAGCAGAGCTCCTCTCAATTTAGCGTGATGCACAATAAATCAGATTTGGAGAGCAGAGGCAGTCCTCAGCATCAGAACCCAGGTGCTGTACTACAGAGGTGAATCTAACTCAGCAAGTTCAGAACAAGTCAGATGTGCAGGCTCCTTCTGCAAAGCGGAGATAAGATTTCTGAGCATGAATTGCAGTGCTGCAAAGAGCAGCATTATGAGAAAAGAGCTGCGAGCCAAGAGTCTATTGCATGAATGCAAAATAATTCCCTCCTATTTCCCTTTCAACAATAAGAATTATGAGATTATGAGGTTTTAAGATACTTTCAACAAGGGAGAAGGGTTCTGGGAGCTAAAAAACAAGAGGCATTACTTACTTCATCACTGAAATTCCTGAAGGCAGCAACTCTCTCCTCCACGCAATCCTGGCTAAGAGGTACAAGCTTCAGGCGCTCGATGATCTTCAAAAGGAGAAGCACAAACAGGCAGGTAATCAATGCTCTGTGCACTATATACCATTAAAGCACCCTTGCGAAGCCTTAACGAAACGCTGCCAATTCCATTCAAGAGGAATCATTTCAGTGTTACTCACTGGTTTATCTCCACACTTGGCTCAGTGGGAGAAGGACTACAAAACACCTCCAGAAAGACCTCCCTGATCGGTAA